CGCTCCATATATGACAGATTTTTGTAGACAAAGGATACTGGCCTATGCTGAAATATCAAAGTCTCTGCAGAGCACGATACATGGCCAAAAAGACTGAGACCAACTGACCTTTGACCCTGACTGACAGTGTAACTTGAGAAGGCACTGTCAATGACTGACTCTGGGGTGTACCTGACCAAACTTGACTTTACAACCTGACATGACATGTGATCAGTGCAACTGCATGATTTAAAACAATGACTAATCAAGCATGCTTTTGGACTAACACATTATTCTGGGGCTCTGTGGGAAATGAGAGTTTCCTAACATTCCACAGAATTGGAAAACCGCACTTGTGACTCGTTTCTAATCTACTTGATGATATTTTACTCCCACAGGCAGTGGCTGTTTGCAGAATGTGAAACTCAAACTAAAACATGAAGATTCTGTTTCTTTTAGGACTGAAGGATGGAGAGAAACACTTCATTTCACTGAAGTGTTTACTGTGGAAATGATGGATGTACATTTGGGAAAAATGTTTGGTATTTTCTTATAATCCATTATTACCTGAAGGTTTTCTTCCCATACAGGATTTTGGTTACACATGAGTTCATGTGTAAAAAGGGGGAGTGTAAACTTCACAATCTACATTTTTCAATCTGACCATTGATTGACAGTTTTAGAATTGACCTGCTCCATATCTGGGGATAAGATACTGTTTGATGGATGTTGACATGTTTCTAATATTGATTGAGTTATAGCAGGTAACACAGATGCAGAATCAGTGGCCAAGGGGCTACTGTGAGAGATGTAATTCCAGAATGGAATACTGAAGAAGTTGACCTGTGAGTAATGTTTCAACAGGTATTAAAGTAACTGAGGTTTGAAATGTAGAAAGAACATATTACAGTTAAAGCTAAAACATAGTAAAGTAATGAGACAGAATTTAATGTAGACAACATCATGTAACTAGCCTGGTAAAGAAGTAAAAGCCATAGACTTTATTGTTTAGGTCATTATGGGGATATACATTTCATCTAAATTCATAATAGAAAGACATTTGATGACAGTTTGTTGGAATTCTGTATTCATACGCAGTGGGGGATCAAAAAGCTGAGGGCCCAGGAGCCCTGAGCGTAGGCTTGAGGGATTTGTATCAGATTTATCCACACAGGTTGCTGGCGCCAAAAGGGGGACCCAGGAGGCCGACACAGCGGAATTCGTCTGGCTGAAGGTCATCAGGACAAAGTGGCTCAACCCCAGGTTTTCCGGCCCCTACCGAGTGACCCAGCGGATCTCTCATGCCGTCCGTCTAGGAGGAAAGGGGGACAACTGGTACTACTGGAGCCAGTGTGCGGTCGGGAAAACACCTGCGAGGACCCTAGACGACATCAGGACAGACCTGGCCCCCGTCAAGGAAATCGACCCGGGAGGCATCATCAGCGGGCCGGAGGATCGGGAGGACGTCATCAGCGGGCCGGAGGATCGGGAGGACATCTCTCCAGCAGTCGACTCGGGAGGCGTCATTAGCGGGCCAGAGAAGGAGGATCGGGAAGACATCTCTCCAGCATCGACCCGGAAGCCGCCGTCAGCGGATCGGGGGGACAAAGACACGGCAAGCCAGGACGGCACAGGGGACTCCACTCTCCGCTGAAACAGGTTGATATAGCCGGTGTGGAGTTTGTTCTAATATCCCATTTTTTGAGGATCTTTGTTTCAATATCCCATTTTTTGAGGAACTTTGTTTTAATATCCCATTTTTTGAGGAACTTTGTTTTAATATCCCATTTTTTGAGGGAGAAGCTGCCCCTTCCCCTTCGTACCAAATGCCCTTGCTGGCTTACGCGTCGGAGGAGGACGAGCACGATGACTCAGCCGACAAGTACAATTTTTTAACATATTTTGGTCTCCCACCACTGTCATAATAAGTTGTTATGGTGGACTGTTCCTAAAGGTTTTAAAGTGCTCTAAATCCTAGCTTCTGATGGATTTATATAAATGTTGGAGAACAGACAGTAGAAAAGAATGACAGTGGTTATGTTTCAAATGCTGTGTATAAGTTGATCTCTGAAGGTGAGATCAAAAGAGGGATTAAAGTAAACAGATATTGTTCTAAACAGGTATTATCTTGAACTGTATTGAAGTGAACATGTATTATTTGGGACTGTTTTAAAGTAATCCTATATATATAAACCTTCTTACTTACACTCACTGACCCAGATACCCTGCTACACACACATACACTTCCTCCCATCAGCACACACACACACATACACTTCCTGACCCAGATACCAGCACACACACACACACATACACTTCCCTCCACCAGCACACACACAGGTTCTTTTCAAGGTTCTTTCCGGGGCCAATATAATCTCAAGCACCAATATATCTGTGTACAATGTTTGATACCAATATATCTGTGTACAATGTTTGATACCAATATATCTGTGTACAATGTTTGATACCAATATATCTGTGTACAATGTTTGATTGTTTGGGAAAGAATAGTTTGTGTGAAACCTTCCTTGGGAAATTCAAGGAGTGAAGTTAGGTGGAAGATAAGAAGTGACTCTCCGCCCCAAATATGTCCATATATACTGTTGTTTATTCATGCAAAATGCCCCTGTTTCTGACTGGCTGGTCCCGATATCTGTATCGCACAGCAGTAGAGTGGGGAGCCCGGAGTGCTCTGTTTCAGGGCACTCTGTATTTCGTATTGTGTTTTTTACCATTAAAATCAGATTATTGTTATAACTTTTATGCCGGTGTTTTGAACTCCTTCTTTTATTAATCTGACCAGGCTCATCTAAACGGACGGCGCGGAGCAGAAGTGGGCTTTAAGCCACCACTACTGTGTTTGCTCCTACAGTTCCTAAGCTAAATGGACTATTCGACTGCAGCCCAGTTCTTATTATACATCCATGCATCATAGATCATACCCTTCTGTCGCATCACGTTTCCGGATTAGTGTTTACAAATCTGAAAGGAGCCGGTCATCTCCCAACCACCTTGAAAACCAGGACTGGATTTCTCAAACCGACTGGATTGACTAAAATGACTGACATTCTGCCGTGGTAAATTGACTGTTTTATTTATTTTGAAGAAAACCCGAAGTGGAACGTTTTGGATTTAAAAGTGAACTGTGGGAAGAAGGATTGTTTAATTGTTTGTGGGGTATTCGAAATACACTTGCTGTTTGTGATTATAATTCCCACAACGGAGACATTTACAGTGACATGTTTTTGCCATCGATTATTTTATCATACTGTTCTGTACAGATGAGACTTTGTAATCAGATGTAGCCTATGTATATGTGTGTCTGTGATTTTATACTGAATGTAAAGTAACTGGAAATATGTGTGGGTGTGTGTGTGTGTGTGTGTGTGTGTGTGTGTGTGTGTGTGTGTGTGTGTGTTGTGTGTGAGAGAGAGAGAGAAAGACTCCTCCAACCTCCCAAACTTTCTTTTTATGTGTGCATTGTTATTTGTGCTTGAGCAACATTTTACTTGAACTTTATTTCAATGAAATTAGTTGTAATTATTGTCCTACGTTTTAATTTGTTTTACAGAGAGGTTTCACAGCTGTCTGGGCCTAGTGGCCCACAGGCGGCGTTTATCCAGCAGCCAGAACATCCATCTGTGCCTGCCCCCAGGTCAAGATCTACCGTGGCTCAAGGGCCTTCACCAGAGCCATCAAGGACCAGCAGACCAGCATCACTACAGCTGCCTCCACCTCCATCTGCGGCTGCCACCAGGTCAAGATACACCTCAGCACAAAGGCTCCACCACAGCCATCACCTTCAATCCAGCCAGCAAGGAGGTCTCGTGGAGGTCTCGTATAGCACTTGTACACCCCACCTACACAGCAGCCCATGCACCATCACCCCCATCTTCACAGCAGCCAGACCCACTGTCTTGGAAGACAGACAAAGACCTTGACACTGTCTTGACATTTATAATGAATAGTTGGTTGAAAGTTCTGATGTTCAATATTGTAAATAGTTAGATTTTCCAGTTTCTTATATTTATATAAATAGTTGGTTGAAAAAAACATTTATAATAAATTGTTGGTTGAAAAAAAAGGTTGAATGCTCAATTTGTATTTGTACACATCACATGAACCTTGGTATGTAATATGAAGTCATTATTCAGTCCTAATGTATCTCAGTCCCTGCTGTGGTGAAAGTAGAGTGATAAACACCTATTTTACTCAAAATTCGAATTTAACTTTTTTTCATTTTAGACATGAATAACATATTTATATACAGTGTAATTCAAATATTTCACTGCTTTTGTGATCCTAAGACTTTGGTAACCAAATCTAAAACACCAAAACAATTCGATCACATGAGTAAATTTGTGTTTTCACAAAAGTTTTGAAGAATTTCCGAAAATCGGATGTCAAATGTTAAGCTTTTGAGCTACTTATCTCATCAAACAGTGCTCTAAGGTGAGTAATTTGCATATATATCAATACTAGAGATTGTCCTGAACATTTTGATATGTAACACATGGGTGCCATGTTAGAAGAAATACATTTAAAAGGTGATTTAAGAAAACATCTAACAATCGAGAAAATACCCTTAGACTCCAGAGGGTTAACTTGTAAGACTGTTAGTGTCACTAGTACGGTCAGAGAGTCACTAGTTCATCAAAAAGCTTACAAGTTGGGACTTTGGTGCTACAAGTGCTGCTCCTGGCGTCACTAGTAAGGCTTATGTTATTATTACGACATAATTACTCTGTAGCTATGTTAGTTTGACAATAAAGAACCTTGAACCTTATGTGGTAACTAGTCAGACAAAAGTGCCACTAGTTGCTGAAAAAGAGTGACTAGTATAATGTTTTATTTAACTACTAAAGCAGAGTGCCAAACTAGTGTGACCATATTTCACATAAATATATATATCAATAACAAGTTAAATCAAAGAGCCAACTAGTGTAGGCAGCTGCCGTCTGATATCAAGGATATGGAATAAATACTCAAATGGCTTGCCATAGTGTGTGAGGCGCTCCTACCTTGTCTGCTCCACACTCTGTTCCATCCAGAGGAGCGTCCAGTTTGGTCTTGCAGGAAGCATCTCCCTCGACTAAACACCACAAGCCTGCACACATCAGGTGCTGATGACACACACACACACACACACACACACACACACACACACACACACACACACACACACACACACACACACACACACACACACACACACACACACACACACACACACACACACACACACACACACTTCATGTGAGTTGTCGCATAAACGCCGGGGTTCATGAAGCATCAAAAACATATTTGATCCAATTACTCATGTCATCGCTCATGTACTTCCTGCTGTGAGCGCTTGTTTTTGGATCATTGACTGGAAACAAAAACATTTGAAAGGAGCTGATGTTAACTACATCTCTTCTCTTAGAGCTGTTCTGTTCTGTAGGATAATACTTTGAGTGTGAATCTATAATTCTACTGCCTGAATCTGCTTCATGGTTTTCACTTTCTTTGCTTCATTTGTTCTGTTTTTAATTCAGCAGGTGAACCTGTCATAAAGTAGTGTGTGTGTGTGTGTGTGTGTGTGTGTGTGTGTGTGTGTGTGTGTGTGTGTGTGTGTGTGTGTGTGTGTGTGTGTGTGTATTAAACTAAAACGGAGCATTTTCTGTCAGCTCAGATTCTATTCCTGCTTCTTTAAACTGTAGGGAGGCGTGTGGCGCAGTGGATTAGTGCGTTGGTGTTGGGATCAGGGGGTCACAGGTTCAAACCCCACTGCAGTCAGCATGTCGTCGTGTCCCTGAGACACTTCCCCCCAAAGTGCTCCTGTGGGGATTGCCCACAGTGTTGAGTATGTAAGTCTCTTTGGATAAAAGCGTCTAACAAGTGACATGTGATGTGTATGTGCTCATGTGTGTCAGTGTTGGCTGCTGTCTGAATATGCTGAAGGAAAAGCAGCTTTTACTTTGAATAAAACCCGTTTGCATCCTAAATATCTGGGCTTCTTCTTTTCTAAGGTCACATTGTTCTGTTGTGTAACATAATACACTTCAGTATAAAACATCTTTTTATTTCTCTTTAATTAATGTATTTGCATTGCATTTGATATTGAGGTAATCTAAAGTAATGGAGTAACTACTTTTATATAGTGATAATCAGATTAGCTCGCTGATTACATTTTGTACAGGTAACTAGTCATTGTAACAGAATACATTTTTAAAGTAACCCTCCCCACCATGCTCACATTGTTAGTCCACAGTCTGTCCCTATTGAACCCCAACAGGGCAGGCAATACACATCTTTATTCTAAATGCAGTATATATAGAGTGGTTTCAATGGCTCCACAGATCAATTATGGGCTCTGCACAATTAGTCAATATATTTGTAGCGATATGTATAATGTTTGAACTTATTTAAATATATGCATACACTAACAGAGAGGAAATAGCTCAAAAGAACCAGCCCTCAGTTTAGCCTTTTACCTAAACATGTCAGCATTTACCTCTTCTCCTTTTGTCTTTTGATTATTAAATAAAACTCTCTTTTGACGTTTCACATTGAAGACCTTCCAGGACAGGGAAGGATTAAAGGATATGTCCTAGGAGAGGTTCAATGGAACACATCTGCTGACTTCAACAGCAAACAGTATTATAATAGAGAGGGTTTATCATTATTAAATTAGGGGAAAGTACAAATAAAGACAGTTTAACAGTGGGTCTGCTTCAAATGAAACGGGTTTTTTGTTAATGTAAATAAATACCTGTATCTGAGAGGGGCGTTATGTAGTATGGTTTTGCATAAGTTGAATCCTGTGGCAGCACACTACATATTGCTGTCTGCAGGAGAATACAGTGAACAGGACACTGCTTTACTCTGAATGTGACTTTTGAATCACATGACAGGCCTGATGCTGGCTGCCAGCTGGATTCACTCTGCAGCAGCCTCCTTAATATCAGGTTCAGTCACACCGGTCCTAACGCTGGAATCTCAAGCATTTTTCTCAGCCTCAGAGTCCACTCTGTACACACACTGCACAACCACTGTATACATTACATGTGAAGGTTAGCTGAACACTCTCCACAACACATGACGCTGATCTCAGAAGAAGGAGGTTCCACTCAGCACACCTTCTGTCCCTGCTGCAGTATAGCTGACTGCTGAGCACCATGTGTGTGTAGATGTGTGTATACACGTGTACGTAAGTAGTCCCCATGTAAAACCTGAGAGAGCAGATGGAAATTAACAGTCATCTGATATTTACTGTTTGATATAAACCTCTGCAGATAGAGAAAGGCTGTGGGGAATGGCATGACACCATCATGTGACTTTACTAAATCATCAAGTACCCTGACCAAGAGAGAGAGCAAATGAAACACCAGCCCAGCATTCCTACATGGATCAATGTGACATCTTTCATTTGTAGGATTCCTTCTCCAGTTTCTACACTGACATGTCAATGGATAGATATTTTATTTTTGCATTGGTGTTATAACCTTTTTCTCCCCATGCCAACATATATGCACCGTACTTTATACTCTGCTCGTGGTGTTTCATGGATTGTTGAGGTTAATTCATATCTAATAGAAACGGAATAACGAACAGAGTGTTGTACCTCCATGTCGTTGCAGAAGGTGGCGTTGGTTCCAAACAGGATCTGGCACTGCTCGTCCACGCTGTAGTGCATGCCCGGCAGCTTGGGGGGGAGTCTCACTTGGTAGCGGCTTCGGGGGTCCGTGTGCAGGAGGCAGGCGCTGGCTTTGGACCTACTTAAAGACACAAGAGAGGGACAGGCTACAACAGGCTGACCAGGGAACTGTTTCCTTTGTCATCGAAATCGAAAAGAGACTTTTATCATATATATATACTGTATATAATATATCTATATATTAGATTTGGACAACATTGGTCTGAGAAAAAAATGAGCCTTGATGGTTAGATCAGGGTTCATACACTTTTTCACCAATGACTTTTCCATGACTTCTCAATGACCTTTACCTCATTTTCCATGAACAAAAAAAAATGACCACTGAAAATGGTTTATTTGAACATGGAACAGGAAAATAAGGTCTGCATATGAAACATGTTGTGCCTATCTAAAGCAAATCAAATAGTAGGCTTACTAGCTTCTACACGCTGAAGCAACTGCAGTCAGGGAGGCAAAGTCATCAGGTATGAAAAAGGTGACAAGGATCCGAGCCCCCCGACCCCACGGAATATCGGTTTAGGGATAACAGAGGATGTTAGCAGTCAGAACAACTAAAGCAGCAGGTAATAATAACAGAAACGCCAAAGAGTCACATCTAATAGAAATATATAAAAGCATTTATTTTAATTGTGTAGCAGTCAGTTTGTAATTCTGGCAGCACTGTTGAGCATTTTGAAAATGTATTTTCATGCCTCTGTGCAAGGCTTAGTCTTTCTATCTTTTATAGCCACTGGTGTAAAGTAACTAAGTTCATAAACTCAACAAGTACTATACGTGGGTACAATTTTGAGATACTTCTACTTTATTAAGTATTTCAATGTTTTGCTACTGTGTACTTCTACTCCTCTACAGTTCAGAGGTAAAGGGTGTCCTTCTACTCCACTACATGTATTTAATACCTTTAGTTACTTTACAAAATGTGGATGAATAATGTGAGTAAAGTGTTAAATCAGACTTTAGTTCCACCTGGAGTAAATCCACAAGCTACCCTGCAGTACACTGCAGAACACTGCAGATCTAACCAAGTGTAATAATCTTATATTTAGATTCTAAATGTAGTTTGTCTTGATTTGAGTTTAAATAGCTTATCTAGTGCTTTCTATGGAAGATTTTTTTTGACTTAATTCTAGTAAATGTTACTTGCCTTGTCTTGATAAGCAACTTTGTCTTTATTTTAGTTATGTTTAACTAGATACAAGGGACCTGTCTATAAAACATCCACCTCAAAGCTAAAAAGCCTTATTTTAAGCACTAGTATGGCAAGAAGAAAACAAATGAATTTCAAGCATCAGCTCTGTGGTTAACATAAGTTATTTTCCCAGCTGGTAAAGACACAATTCAAACAAGAATTAACATCTCTTTTAATGATAATCAACAAATGAACTGATAATCATCATAACACACTCTCCTAAAGGATATGGACCAGAATAACTGATGATATGCATGACATTGACTCTTGAGGTAGGTGTGCAATCTCTACTCTGTTACTGCCCTGGAACTGGTAACAAGGTGGGGGTCCCTGAGCAGTGAGGACACTGTTGGGAGGGGCTGCCAGCTACTCAGTACCCCTCCCTCTTCCTTCAAGCAACATCTCTTTCCCCTGTTATCTGGTCTCTTATTATCTATGGCAGTGGTTCTCAAATGGGGGTACGCGGACCCCTAGGGGTACGTTGGAGTACTGCAGGGGGTACGTGAGATTTATTTGTATGTTAATGAAAAAAAAAAATAATACACCAATTTTAGGAACAGTAAGGAAGTTTGAGCAGAGTGGTTTTATATGAACAGAGTTACACATATTTCAAAACGCGAAGTGTAATAACTGCAGAGGCCTTCCTGTCACTGAGAATAACAAAGATCCTCAGTGAAGCACAAGCCCATGTTTCACTACATTGTAAGTACAACTTATTAAAAAGATCAGTTCAATGCAACTAATGTCGTCTTAGTGTTATTGCATGATGTTAAAATTGGTTTGCCATGAATTTAGTGATGGATTGTAAACATTTAAAATGTAGCATTTAAGTGTTTCTCAGTTACAATGTTGTTGTTTTAATAAATCAGACACTGATGGTGCAGCGCTGTGCTGTACCTCTTTATATAGGCATTTCTTCCCTTAACAAATTGTTTTTGCGCTGATCAGGGGGTACATGGCTGCATTTTTTTTCAAAGGGGGTACATTATTGAAAGAAGTTTGAGAATCACTGATCTATAAGCAATACTGGACAAAGAACAATATCTTAATTTCTGAGGTTGTGGTGCATTTATCACACCACACATGTTCAAACAATCCATGCCACATTACACATTTAAACATGAACAGCTTAACACACCAAGTATGGCTGAGCGATATGGATAACAAAAAAAAATATCACAATATCTTTGACTTGAATGTTCACACACTTCATCAGATGTGGACGACTATAACGATTGCTCTCAGTGGTGTGTGCGAATTTGGCGCTTGCTGCATTATTTAATTATGCAAAGACCCGCCCCTACTCTGCTTCGCATTGGCCCTGAAAGAAGAAAAACCTGGAATGTGCATCCATGTGGTGTTTGTCATCACTCATAAAGTCGGAAAATTAGTGACTTTATTTACCATGTGTTTGTCAGAAGCTGGATCAATGACAATATCCACTAAAAGATGTAAACAACGAATGCCAGTACTATATTATTTACATAGAGATCCTCCTCAGTCCTCAGTGTTTACAAGTGGATGGCTGTTTGTGTCCAAATGATGGCAAACGGGGAATTTCCTATTTCACGAGGATCACCTGAACGCACCACAAGCCAAGCTCCGCAGCGCCAGCGGAATGTAACGGTACGTCCACACAGCAGCTTTTCAAAAATCTTGAAAATCTTGGAGCTGGGCGTGTCTGAAAGCTTGGGGATTTCGCGACCAACAACCAATCACATGAATCTCCCGCCCCCGACATACAAAGCAAAAAAACCCGGTTCTTCTCCACTATTTCTTTTAACATTTTGAACATTTATGAGATTAATGTCTATGGTGCTATTTTATGCTACATTCCATGCTGGCTAATGATACTGTCTATGCTTGCTAGCAACGAAGTAAACTAGCAACGAAGTAAACTGGATATAAAATCTCCAAACAAGCGAAAACCTACCAGTTTCACCCACTGCCTCTGCCACCTCCCTCCATGCCTCGCTCCTCCAGTTTGTATCCCGGTAAGTAAATAGGGACTGGTCATAAAGAACCGGGTGATTTGCTACGGCAATAACTAACTTCTCCTCCATTTTTGTGGAATATAGAAATGAACTGCGGGTCTGGTTCTCCCAGCTTGCACGCGGTTTGATTGGCTAGCGCTTGAACTGTCAGATTTGCATAAACGGATCTGATTGGCTGTCGCTTCCAGCTCAGCCTCAAAAGTTGAACATTGTTCAACTTTGGAATCCTGAACATCCTGGAAATCCTGGAAATCTTCGCCTCGCCCCCCCACAATGCAGTTCGGCGACAAGCGAGGGAAAGTGACGTCATCCCCATTCAAAGTCAATGGGCGGAGACGCGCTGGAAGCGGTGGACAAATCGCCAAAAGCTGCTGTGTGTACGGGCCGTAACACGTTGCTTAGTTCACCTTCACCAGAGAGGCAGGTCAGCGACCAAGAAGTGCAGTTAAGTGCAGTTCCGCTGTGTGGACGGGCCGAAGGTAACGTTAGTAACTGAACGTAGGAATAACGGCCCGTCCACTAGTGCTGTAGCGACGCGTCGACATCGTCGACTTCAAAATACCGTCGACGACATATTTCCGCGTCGACACACACACGTGGGTCACCCAAAGCAACAAGCAGTTCGCAATCGCACTTCAAACACAATGGAGACTGCTGGATTTTGACATGTGACATCTCTTTCTGACCGTCAGAGCCAATGGAATCGAGGGGAACTCCCACATAGTCCTTATTTGGTAATGTGTGTGTGTGAGACTGCTGCATAGCCTAGACCGGAAGCAGCAGCTAGCTGTGGTGGCTACCATTAGCAGCTAGCATTTGCTCTCCGATTTTTATATAAAAATTGAATTATGGATTATAAATTCAATACTTTTTTTATACATAGACGTTAAGAACCTATGGATTAACCGATTCAGCCGCGTTTTTCTCATTTTAATGCCATTGAACACGTCTTTTGATCAGATTGACAGCTACGGTGGTGAGACGATCTCCCTAGAAGCTCTGTAAAGGTACGTGTTATGATGACTGTATTTGCTTCCCCTGTCGCGAGTCCGGATCACTCAGTGATGATACTATATACCTACATAATCTGTGGAGTCTCAGCTTTAATCGGATATATTGTATGTGCAGCTACGATAAGTAATAAGGGTACTTTTATCTTGAGTTCTGTGCCAATGTCCGTTAGCATTTTTCGCTCAGGGGTCATTTAGATGCTTCTTGTGAGACTTGTGTTTTGTTTTGGTAAACATGGTTTGTATCGTCAGTTAGCTGAGATTATTTCCGTTAATCTGGTATAACACATTAATAGGTTCTTAAATATTAAGATCCCCTGAGACACAGTATCGTGAACAATTTTTTTTACATTACGTTTTTTATGAATTGAACAACATAAAAATAATCGTTAGATTAGTCGACTAATCGATCAAATAATCGCCCGATTAATCGTTTTCAAAATAATCGTTTCCCCCCAGCACTACCGTCCACACAGCGCCGTGCGTTGACGCTTGGCGGTGGGCGTGTCTGAAGCTTGGGGATATTTTGTGAGCAACGCGACCAACAACCAATCACATGAATCTCCCGTCCCCGACATACAAAGCAATAGCAATGTTAAAACGAAGTAAACTGGATATAAAATCCCCAAACAGGCGAAAACCTACCAGTTTCACCCACTGTCTCTGCCACCTCCCTCCATGCCTCGCTCCTCCGGTTTGTATCCCGGTAGATGAACAGAGACTGATCATACAGCACCGGGTGATTCACTACCGCTATAATGAATTTTCCCTCCATTTTTTGGAATATGAGGAAATGACCTGCGTAGTCTCTCCCAGCATACACGCAGTTTGATTGGCTAGCGCTTGTACTGGCAGATTGGAATAA